CCTTCAAAGCCCATCCCCTCCCTCGCTCAATGCCAGCGCCCAAGATAAGGCTGGTGGCGGTGCCAGCAGCAGATAATGCATATCATGGTTGCTAATGAAGACGTGGGCTAGCCCACCCGGTGTGACCAGTGATGGACACCCAGAAGCCCCGCCCAGCCGGAGATCAACATGTCCCGGTGGGGGCTGGGAAGGTGGCTCAGTGGTAGAGTGCTTGCCTAGCATGCATGAGGCCCTGGGTTCGATTCCACATAAGTAGAAAAAGCCGGAAGTGGCGCTGTGGCTCAAGTGGTAGAGCGCTCACCTTGAGCTGAAGAGCTGAGGGACAGCGCCCAGGCCCAGAGTTCAAGCCCCACAACTGGCCAGAAGAAAAAAAAAATGTTCAGGTGGATGCTGAGGGTCCAGATTGGGGGCGGGAGGGGGGCTGGGATGGGAAGAGAGCTGGTTGCAGTCACACAGACCTAGGTTCGAATCCCACTTCTACAGCGGCACTTCTTTGCTGTCCTTTGCTTAGCCTTAAAATAGTGACAGTGTGGCATCTCTGCGCGGGGTTGGCCAGGCTTAGGGGGGAATCCGTGTCCCATCTCAGGTGACAGCTAAAGGATCTCGGAGAAGCCTGGGAACCGGTGTGATGATTATTGTAGAAAGCGAGGCTGTTGGTAAACAAGGCCGGGGGATCTGTCTGCCTGGGACCACCTAGGGATTGTGGGGTTCCACGGCCCGGAGGAAGCACTTTCTGCATCTAACCAGTGGGATCTTGGGGGGAGCTCCTGCCAGCTCACCACGCACTGCCAGGCTACTAATTACCATTTTTGTGTGTGAGCATTTTAATAAGTTCCTGTGTGTGCACACATGTGCGCGTGCGCGCGCGTGTGTATAAATACTGGGGCTTGAACTCGGGGTCTCAAGGTCCCTCACTTGGCTTTTTCGTTTAAGGTTGGCACTCTACCACCTGAGCCACACTTCTACCTTCCTGATTTTTTGCTGGCTAACTGGAGATGAGACTCACAGACTTTTCTTCCCAGGCTGACTTCGATCCTCAGACCTTGGCCTCCTCCGTAGCTAGCTTCCAGCGTGAGCTACCAGTGCCCGTCTTTCGAGACTGCCCCGGTTTTCTCCCAAGTCACGGGCCCTTTCCTCCATTTAAACCCGAGGCTGCTGTCGGAGAGCGATTTCTCGATCCGGGATTAGAAGACCTGGCTGGAGTGGGTTGGTTTCGATCATGGAATTGCAGGCAGGCAGGTGGTTGGTTGGCTCTTTCTCCTGGGCTTCGTGGAAAGAACAAACCTCTTCAGGGCACCTCCCCGGGGACATGATGTTACTTAGGATTATTCCAAGTTTAGAAACATGGAGGTGATTATGGTAAATAACGCGTGCAAATCCTGACACATGCAACGTATTCTTTTGTGTAGTCGCCAGGGGCCGGCAGGGCAGGGACGCCTGCCTCTTCCGTGGAGCGACATCTAGTGGACAGTCACGGAAGAGGACAACACATTTCCACCCCCTCTCTCCCTGTCTCTCCTCTCCCAGTTCCCCCTCTCTTTTCCTCCCTCAGCCAAATTTCTAGTCAAGAAGTGGGAATACATAACATAGACCCGGCAAAGATACGGCTTAAAAAAAATTACTAGCCAGGCGTCCGTGACTCACACCTATAATCCTAGCTGCTCAGGAGGCTGAGATCTGAGGACCACAGTTCAAAGCCAGCCCCGGCAAAAAAGTTCGTGAGACTCTTACCTCCAATAAGCCACCAGAAAACTGGAAGTGGCGCTGTGGCTCAAGTGGTAGAGCGCTCGCCTTGAGCTGAAGAGCTGAGGGACAGCGCCCAGGCCCTGAGTTCAGGCCCCAGTATTAGAGAGATGGGAGGTCTGGAAAAGGCCCATTCTGCTGCAGGCTGGTCGTTCGCCCTTGGCTAGGAAAAGCCGTCCCCTATGGGTGTCCACGCGCTGTGGTGTCCACAGTCTGTGATGTCCACGCGCTGTGGTGTCGACGTGCTGCAGTGGGCGTCCACACTCTGGGGAAGGTGTCCACGCTCTGTGGGTGTGCCCACAGCTCTGTGGGTGTGCCCACGCTCTGGTGATATCCACGCTCTGATGGTATCTACATGCTATGGTGCTGTCCACGCTCTGGTGGTGTCCACACTCTGTGGGTGTGTCCACACTCTGGTGGTGTCCACGCTCTGGTAGTGTCCACACGCTATGGGTGTGCCCACGCGCTGTGGTTGGGCTGCTCCTCCTTCTCTAGGAGCACTTTTCTTCTTAGAGATGGAGGAAGGCTTCTGGGCACTTTGGGCAGGTTAGATGGAGACAGCATGCAGCAAAATGTATGCAGGCTTTGCGGGCCAGGCTTCGCTGCTGGTCTGGCTAGGATCTCTGAACTGGTAAGCCAGGTCCCTGGCAGCGCGCGGTGCACGTGAGCCGGTGGCACAGACCGAGGACCTTGCTGAGGGTGGCTTGCCCTTAGGAACTCCTGGGGGGGGGTCCTCCCCCGTGGACCCTGTCCTGTGGGATCCCTGCCCCACACAGCCCACTCCGGGCATGGGGTGCCTGCCACCCTTCCCAGCCCAGCCTCGGGCCGCACTGTGAGGTGAGGGTCCCCACCCTGGGTGCAGCTGCCACCGTGGGTATGGGCTGCCTACCGCCCCCCCCCCACAGGGGACAAGGGCAAACGGACTCGGGGGCACACACTCAACACATGCCAGTCGTTAACAACAGTTTTGACATTTTACTAAACCAGTTCACACAAATTCCAGATTGCAAATATAAGGAAGGACAACACGTGTTTGTTGTGCCTTTAAAAACTTTTTTTTCCCCATTTTTTCAAATCATTAAGACAAAAAAGTAAACAGGAAATCAGGTCTGTTGCAAACTTCATGATTTTTGTTTCTGGGGGGGGGTGGGGAGGGAAAAGAAAAACAACAACCTAGGTAAAAAAAGAACGCCACGGGTGTGCGGAAGCACCACAACACGTCGCCGAGGGGGAGGGCTTCGGCACGGGGGACTGCCGGGGCCCGCCCCCCGCGCTGCTCTGCGCCAATCAGGGCTCATTAAAACCAAACTAGAAGAACCTCCTAGGTTACGCTAAAGTCAGACACGGTCCGCACAGTGCTCACAACAGCAATGCCAACTATCAGTGCTAACGTAAAAACATTTCAGAGGGGCGAAAACAAGTAAAACTGGAAACCAAAACCTTAATTTTCCTAGATGAGCAAAACTGAAAAGGGAAGGGGACCCCACCCCCTGGGCCCCACCGAAGCGGGGTACGGGGGGCGGCTCTTCTCCTCTGGCCAGGGCTCGGGGAGCCCGGCTCTGGCTAGTTGGCATCCAGCTTGGCCATCTCCTGCACGTAGATGCCTATGCTCTCGCTGTCGAAGAGCACGAAGTACACCGTTTTGATGGAGGAGGACATGGTGGCCACGAAGTAGCTGGAGATGGCCTTCAGGATGAGCTGGGCAGCCGTCTGCTTCGGGAATCCGTTCCTGCAAGGGAGGACACGGTGGTGGGGACCCGTCCCGCCCGCGGGGCACCTCCCGGGGGAGCCGGGACCCCCGGCCTCGGGCTGGGAGAAAGCGCCCGCATGCTTTGCGGGCTCGTGGCCGCGTGGAGCCGGGCATGCGCTGTGCCGGGCAGGGGAGCAGGCGGCCAGCCCCCCCCCTACTGCCCCCCAAGGAAGCACACGGGGTTTGGGGAAGGGAACCGGGGCGCGGTCCCGGGGCAGCCGGAGCTCCACGCTGCTCTTCCCCACCAGCCCTGCCCAGCGCGGCCTGGAAGCCCACGCGTGTCCCCGAGGCCTGTGGGGCAGGCCCTCGCCTCCCCCAAAAACTGGCACAGAGGCCCTCAGGACCCCCCCTCCCCACCACGGCAGACCAGGGCGCCCCTGTGGTGCGGGGAAGAACTCAGGGGCCAAGTGGCCTCTCCATCTCGGGGATGTCAGCAAAATCTCCATGCCGATTGTTCTGGAATCTACTTAGGGCTCCACGGGCGACCATGGGGTAGAAGCCCTGATCGCCCCTCTTCCCAGTCCATGGCGGCCAGGGCAGCGGCTGGGCGCTTCCTCGTTCGTGGCAGACGGAAGCTGCCAGTCTGCTTGTGCCTGTGCCCCTTCCCGAGCATGTGGGGTCCCCTCCTCCCTCCCGCCAGGCAGGGAGGCCGGCCCAGGGCAAGGGGACGTCCCTCACAGCACACCTGGCCCTGCTGTGCGCCCAGGGGCTCACCCACCCGGTGCCGCCCCGGACAGCGCCCCTCGCTTGGGGACAAACATGGCTTTCGTGACAGTGGTATCAGAAACGTCTGTGTGCCTGTGAGGCGCAGCATTCGCCCTCTAGGCCTCATCTGTCCCTCTGGCTCTGGAGAAGAGCAAGTCGCATCCCGAGGGGTGAGTGTTCTTCCTGAGACCCCCGCGCCACAGAGCCGGCCACTAGCCAGGTGCTGGTGGCTCCCACCTGTCATCCTCACTACTCAGGAGGCTGAGATCTGAGGATCCTGGTTCAAAGCCAGGTCTGGGCAGTAAAATCCATGAGCCTCTTATCTCCAGTGAACCAGCAAAAAGCTGGAAGTGGAGCATAAACGCTCAGAGGGACAGCGGCTGGCAGGGAGCGGCGGCTCTTGCCCGCACAGTGCCGGCCTTGGTGTTCCGCCCGCTGCTGGGTGGACGTGAATCTGGGTTTGCATCCAGGAAAAGCTCTTGTTGACAAAGCGGTTTCTGTCCTAGGATGCCACCCGGCAGAGGGACGAGGCCACTCCGGACCTCAGAGGCTGCCAGCCAAGAATGGCCCAGCGACCGCTTTCCCGGGGTTTCCAGGTAGGGCTCCCCAACACAGCTGAGGTGCGGCCGGCTCTGCACGCCCAGCTCCACCCGCCCTGCGAAGATGGCCCGGCAGGCCAGTCCCAGCTGCCCAGAGAACACGGCTGGCCCAGCAGAGTGCCCCAGCTGCACACTTCCTGGCACCACACGGGAGCCCCGCGTGAGCCTGTGTCCGTGTGCAGAGGACAGGCCCAGGCCCGGAGCAGGGTCTTCAGCTGGAGGCCGGATGGTCTCTGATGGCCGCATGGCCAGCATGGCTGCACTGTCGCCATCACACCACCGCCTAGCAATGCTGGCACCCTGCAGAGCCGGCAGCCAGTGCGTGTGATGGCAGGTCGGGCTCCCGGGCTGGCGGCCTGGACGGAGCTAGCCACCCTCCGGCCTGTCGTGCTGGAGCAGGGGCGCCCCCACACACTGCGCCGGGACCCCTCTCGGGTGCCCTCTGGGCTCCCATGGGCTCCTGCGAGGATACACGCGCTGTCTGAAGCCCTCCACACTCGGCTTGCTCTGTGATGTTGATGGCCCACGAAGACACTTGACCCCGCGTGGTGCGCAGAGATCTGGGTTCATGAGGGCTGCACCTCCAGCTCTGCAGGCACAGGCCGGGGCAGGAGCCGGGGCCGGAGGGACGGGCGGCAGGACAGGGGTGTGCTGTGTGTGTGGGGGGGGGGTCGGGAGGAGCTGAGGGATGTGGCTGTCACCTTGCGCGTGGACACTTCTGCCAGGGCCTCTGAGTGGCCAACCACCATGATCCAGAGCTGAAAGCAATGGTGCCCAGGAGGCGGACACCTGCGGAGGGGTGACGGGCATCCTCCTTGGCGCCTGACCGGTCCCGCGCCTCCGGACGGAGAGTAACTGGCTGGCTTTGTGCGCCTTCTTCTCTGCAGGTGGGGTGGGCGTGCTGAGGGGGTCAGGGCTCCCTGCACCCCCGCGCACGCGTGCGGGAGGTCATCCTGGGGCCTGACCGCGTACGCTGGGAGCACAGGGCCACAGGTTCGAGTCTGGCTCTGCCCGGCAGACGCCGTGCGACCTCGGGCGTGCTATTAACCCTTCCGGGCTTTGCATCTTCTTCTCTGAGCGTCTGCCAGGCGCTGGCCTCTCAGGGTGGCTGGTGAAGGTGTGGGTGAGCACCCCCGAAGGGTAGCTTGCAACCCAGCGGAGCGGCTTGCATTTCATGCTCATAAATCTATGGGAAGTTTAATCAAAGATTCTCCCCCAAATGAGCCGTTCTTGCCGTGCTGCCCCTAATGCTAACCACAGCCGAGGGAGCAGGGGGTGCATACACACGGCGGCCACGACGGCCGGGCTGCACAGCAGGGGCCCCACGCCCCTGCCAGGGCTGAGGCTGCCCGGGCCCGGGACAGCGGCCGCAGCCTGTCACCACGTTTGTGTGGACTGTACTCCAGGGATGCGAGATGCTGCGAACAAGCGGCTCTCGGCCCCCTCCCGGCCTGTGGTTTACTGGCGGCTCGGGAGCAGCCCGTTCTCCTGCCCGTGAGAGGGCGGCGCACAGCTGTGCGCGCAGCTGCAGGGCGGGCGGTCTGCCGGGCAGATGTGGCCGCAGAGCCCCGCACATGTGCTGCCTTTGGCGTTCGGCCCTCTTAAAAAAGCTTGCGATTGATTAGCTTCAAAAATAAACTTTTTGCTCCATGAAAAATATAAATAAGTGTGTAATAACAGATGCTCTTTTTTTTTTAATGGGAATTACTTTTAGGCTTCAATTAAAAAAAAAGTTCCCAATAGCCGTATGAAAGAGCGTGAAATTATGACCTCCAATAAAGGCTACTACTGCCCTGCTCTTCGGAAGCGCCTTTCATCCAAGCAGATCAAAGTGCATTCGAGGCACTAATTAATAATTAACGGAGCCTCAGAGCCCTCTGGGAGAGGCCAGGAACAGAGAGGCTGAGTTTGCTTCCTAAATATCACAGTGCTGGGCACACAGGAGGGGGACTGGCGCGCCGCTTGCTCCACAAGCCCTGGCACCCGCACCCCACGGCCCAGCCCAGGGCCGCCTTGTGCGGGACACGGCTCCTCTTCTCAGACTGTCTCCACTGGAGTGAATGAGCGCAGTAGGAACAGCAGGTGCTCAGGCGTCCATCCCCGCTCCCCGGGTGCTGGCTTTGGGGTGCAGGGCCGAGAGTGGGGAGCAGACACGTTTGCTTATCTTCTGCTGTACTTGTTAAAGGTCCTTCGATCGAGAGGTCCCAGGCCAAGCCACCAGAGCAGAGCAGAGCCTTGGGGACCTGGCTCACAGAACCGCAGAACCAGAGAGAGGAGGCCCAGCCCCAGCGCCCCTTGCTGGAGGGGCTGGGGAGCTGGAGTGTCTCGCCGTGGGTCCGTGGATGACGAGGTCAGCGTGGGGGGTACCACGCTGCTGTCCCTCAGCCCTGCCACCTTGATGGGGAGGAGCCAGATAGTCCCAAACCGCACCGCCTGCGGGTACAGACGTGTCCCAGGGTGGCGGGCTGCCCGGTGGAGCCGCGCTGCCCTCGACGCAGCCCAGGACGTGGCCGGGGAGTGAACGGCCGCACCAGCGTCCCCCCCAAGCCTACGCTTACTTACATGCCGTCTGTCAGCTGGCACGGACCCCAGGCCACCCGGTGGCATCTGGGGGCGCATGCGCAGCTGCTGAGGGACCCCTGCTCCAGAGAAAGCCCTCAGGGGTGGGGGCGTGAGGAGCGAGTGTACTGAGCACCTTGGTGAGTCAGTTCTGGTCCTGTCTAGCTCATGCCATTTCCACCCAGACCCTCACAGCTCCTGCGGGTCACGAGATCACCCGTGGGTCACGAGGTCACCCACAGCCCTGGGCGGGAGATGGAGAGAACGAAGTATGTGGCCCAGGGCCTTGCTGCGGTCTCAGGACAGCGCCGTCACACGCTCCCGGGCTTGCTCTGGGACGGCCCTTCAGAGCTGTCCCCCCGTGGGACGGGTCTGCCGTCCCCCTCTGTGCGACACTTGCTGCTGCAGCTGGTTTTGCGCGGCCTGCAGCCTGCAGCTCGCCCTCTCCTGACACCGGTCCTCATCAGCCCCTGCCCGGCCGGGGCGCACCGGCCCCACGGCCAACGTGGGCCGTGGACCACGCGAGCCCTACCTGCCGCTGCCGATGGATGGAAACGCGATGGACTTGAGCTTCTTGTCGTCGGCCAGGGCCAAGCAGTTCTTCACCGTCTTCTCCAGGAGTTCTTCGCACTTGTCTGCGCCCCACACCGGGCTGTTGCAGTGGATCACAAACTTGGCGGGCAGGCCGTGGCCGGCACTCATGGCAGCTGGAGCAGACAAGAGGGAAGCCCGTCACGGGAAGCCAAAGCCAGGCCATGCCCGAGGGGACCTGGCGGCCGTGACCAGCGTCACCACTCCCTGGGGGACAGCCAGGTGTGGATGCGTGTTTACCAGGAGTTCTGGCTAATTCTGGGGAGCCCTCTCTCCCCAAAGGCAGGGCCTCCACCTCTAACTGGACTGTCACTTGGGAGCCCCTAGCTGTGACTCACATCACCTCTCCTGACAAAAACGGATCTAGGTGTGCGATACATCCCAGGAGCCCTGAGCCCCACCGCCACCTGCCTGCTGGCTCTCCCTACGTCTCCAGCCTCTGCCTGCAGCAGAGATGGAGTCTTTATTATTTTTTTTGGCCAGTCCTGGGGCTTGAACTCAGGGCCTGGGAGCTGTCCCTGAGCCTCTTTTACTCAAGCCTAGTGCTCTACCACTGGAGCCACAGTGCCACTTTGGCTTCTTCTGTGTATGTGGTCCTGAGGAATCGAACCCTGGGCTTCATGCATGCGAGGCAAGCGCTCTACCACTGAGCCACCTTCCCAGCCCAAGGAGGAGCCTGATTCTTGATCATCATCTCCACACCTGTCCCTCCCCATCACGCCTCAGGCTAGCCTTGCTCTCCTGTAACAAGCCTGCCTATCTCCCCAAGCTCCTGCAGGGCCTGAGTGCAAGACACTCTGCAAAGGTGGTGGTTCTGAGCCAGGCCAGGCATATACGCCTCCGCCCCACGGTGATCCCTCCACAACCAGAGGTGCAGGGCACGGACTCCTGGCAGCATGGATAACATGCCCAATAACTGACCAAGACCTGCAGTCTGTGAAGCCGTGGTTACTATACACGGACACAGAGAGGCCCAAAAAGTGGGCTCACCTGAGCCTGGCCTGAGGTAGCAGAGACCCAGTCTCAGAACTAAGCAACTGGGCGTGGTGGCCCATAGCTGACATCCCAGCTGCATGGGGAGCAGAGGCAGGAAGACGTCGGTCCATGGCTGGCCCAGACAAGAAGCAGGTGACCCCAACAAAACCCCTTGTGCTACTGATGTATAATAAAAAAAAAGAGTACAATGCAACATGTATCTGTATTATATATATGTGTGTGTGTATTATACACACATACACAAAGCACAAGGCCATGTTCTAAAGACAAACGAAAAGCAAAAGGGTCTAGGGGCATGAATCAAGTCATCTGGGTAACTGCCAAGCAAACACAGCCCTTGAGTTCAAACCCTAGTACTTACATATATGTTCTAAAACAGCTCTTAGGATCAAGAACAAATGCATCATTAAAATAAGCCAAAGTGTTTTGCACCAGGCTAAGTCGGGCCTGGGCACCAGGCTAAGTCATAAGGGCAGGGCCTGGGCACCAGGCTGCCTCGTGCCCACTGTGTCGTGTGCCAGGGTCCTAGCCAGCTGCCAGCAGGGTGCATGTGCCCTCCCCACTTGCTGGAGGGCTTGGGCGGCTTTATAACTAGTGCTCTGCCAGGTGACCCTCAGGCCAAACAGAAGTCACAGAGCTCGGGGCGGCCTGGGGAAGGCCACCCTTGATTCCTACTGGGCCTCAAGACTGGTCCAGGGTGGGGGGAGGTAAGGTCCGGTGGTCCCACTGGGGAAAGGCCTGTGTGGACATTGCCTAGTAATTACTGACAGTTAGTCAAGGTTCACTTTTTGAGCAGGTCCTGGGGCTTGAGATGGGGGCCTGGGCACTGTCCCCGAGCTTTTGCTCAAGGCTGACACTCTACCACTTGTGCCACAAAGCCACTTCCAGATTTTAGGGTGGCTCATTGGAGGTCAGTGTCTCACAGATTTTCCTGCCTGGCTGGCTTCAAACCTCACTCCTCGGATCTCAGCCTCCTGGGTAGCTAGGATGACAGGCGTGAGCCACCGGTGCGTGGCTAGGATTTACTCTGAAACCGAGCAGGGTTGAACAGAATAGGCATTGGGGTGCAGCTCTCCCTTTGAGGAGGCGGGAAGCCCTGTTTTCTGTATCCTGCTCTCCGCCTACCCTCAGGACTCGGGCCTGCCAGTCTGCTGAGCACTGCGAAGCTCCTCCCCCCGGCAGGTTCCCAGTCATTTTCTTCCCTATCCGGGAAGGAGAGGTGTGGGTGTGAGTGGCAGGTGAGCAATGTGGGCGTATGTGTTTTCCATGAAAAGCCGCAGAGGGCCAACATCCAGGAGCCCCTCCCTCTGAATGATGACGAGAGATGAACTCTTGAGCGGCAGGCCCACGCTCCGGGGACATCCCTGTTGCCCGGGCCTTCTGGGGGGGGGGAGGGAAGGGGTGGTGTCCAAGGCTGCCTCCCCAGGTCTGCGCACCCCAACTCACCTCCAGCTACTTCTAGGGGCCCGTTCTTTTTCCGGAGTTCCAGAACAGCCTCCACAAACTCCTTGCCGCCCTTCTTCTCCAGCGTGTTCCCTAGACAAGGACAGGGCAGGGCGGTCAGAGGCCACCCGTGTCTGTGGCACAAGCAGACACGGAGCATGTCAGGTGATTACAAACTTTCAATGGTCTGATCAGCTAAACTCCCAGAGCCGCCAACAGGAACTAACGCCTTGGCTGGGCGGGGCGAAGCGGCCCGGGGATTGCTTCTGCAGCTCCACGTTTCAGAGGCTTGAGAAACCAGCTGGCACTGGCTGCCACGGCTAACACCCATCCACCCTGGTTTTCTTCCCTGGTTCTGGGGAGAAGCCCCAAATTAAGGAGGCTGCGGAGCTGCGTGCGCACCGTGCGCGCCTCCCCTCCTCTCCCTCCCCCCCCCAACCCCCGCCCAGGGCGGGAGACCCGCCTTCCTCTTCGGCCCACGGAACCAGCTTAGTTCCTGCTTCGCAGCTCTGGTGTCATGTGTGAATACAAGTAAAGGAACGATGACCTCAGACAGTTTTTTTTCTTCATTACACTAATGATTCAGAACCATCCCGGGGACAGGGGAGGGGAATATCAGAAGCAGAGCTTAAAGATGAACGTATGCTATGTAAAAGAAGGGTGTCTTGTGGCTCGGGGCCGGATTTCTAAAAGCCAAGCCACCAGCGGAGGCTGGGCGCACTGTGCAATGAGCACTCTCTGGAGGGAGGGTGCTGGCTAAGTCGTCCTGCACGGGGACGAAAGCCAAGTGCCTCACAAGATTCCCAGGGCCCGTAAGAAGCTGGGAGGCCTCCTCGCGTGTGGGTCTGGCAAGCAACCATCGAAGGGCGCGACCGGGGGCTGGCCAGCACGGGGGGGGGGGGGGGGTCTGTCTTCCTTAAGCTCTGATTCCTCCATGTTGCACATTTTAAAGTACTTTTCCCTCACAAGAGGACAAAATACTCCCCTTAAGATTCACCGTTTGTCTTGGAAAATTCAAAGCGTGCCTGGCATAATTCTGGTACGGACTGGTCAAGGTGGACTGGGATGCAAATTTGGTCTTAATTATCTTAGCAAAACCTGCCTGCTTGTTCTGCGGAGGTGAACTAACCCAGGGAAGCATCTGGAAGGAAGAGCCCATCGGTTGGTCCCGGTCACAAATTAAGACAGCATCAGGGCCTGAGGGTCGGGGCTGAGCCGGGCACCGCCCAGCCGTGGGGGTCTGCAGGAGAATACTTGAACCCACACAGGGGGCTCTCAGCCAGGGCAGAGGCTGGACTTGCAGAGATAATTCGAACTCTGGACTCTTGGGGGACCCTGTGTCTGTCTTCCTCAACTCAGGCCTTCAGCGCCCTGGGCGGCCACATGAGCCTTGTAAGGCAGGGGTCACGGAAGGTCGCTGGGCCGCTGCTGTGTGGTTGGTGTAATAGCATCACGGGTGTGGGCTGAATGTTTTAAGTGCGTGAGGGCCTGAAGCCCAGCTCGCCCCACCGGGAAGTAGACTCGTCCAGCCCAGGTGGGAGACCCCAGTACAGGTTCCGTGCAGCTGAACAAAAGGGGCGCGAGCCCAAATCTGCTGCCTCCCATCAGCCCATCCTCAAGCGTGGCGGGCTAAGACAACGGGCCAGCTGTCGGCTGGAACGCTCGGGTCCTCGCTCTCTGTCCCGGCTCCGCTCTGTCGAGAGCTGGGGAATTTGGAAAACCAGCACAGCAAGGCCCCTGTGAAGACCGCCAAGCCCCTTGGACGTCATCAAACATCTCCTAAGAAAATGGGCTGCTTTATCATTAAAGGTGTTATCTTAGGAAGAGTGTTTACTTTAAAATCATTTACTTATAATTAAATGCTGCTTTAATTAGAAGTGAAATTGCAAGTTGAAAGTCCACTGGATGCATTTCTCAAACTTAAAAAAAAAATTAAACCCTAGGTCACAGGCAATTGACCCAGTCAGGACTGGACTCCTACACACACATATGTATATGCACATGTTCATGTAGACACACGTGTACTTTTTAACAAGAAACAGGCCCGTTTTTAACTGTGTTGTCAACGCTCAAAGTAAGGCTCTTGCTTTTTAGGCTTAACTTCAGGGTTAATCGTAAAGCAATTGGCTGATACGCCCCCAAGCATACACATGTGTTACTCTCCAATATTATTTCATGCTTAGAAAGCAGGCAGAAGTATCAGTGTTCAAAACAGCCTAAGCGAAAATTTAGGCTTGGACAAATGTCAGGCTAAGCCTGTGGTCTATTTCACTGTTAGAAAGAACTTCGGATGGGTAGAAGTTAATCACTGGGGCTAAGCATTCCTGCACTCGAATTCCTTCTTCCAGCGGTCTCGGACTCAGGAATTCCACACCAAACGTGAGAAGGGGAGCCGGTACTTCCTGGCTTTCTCTTTGCCCCTCTCGCACAGCAAAGTGGGGGGCTGGAACCAATTGAGACCAGGCATGTGTCTGGAGTAGCCTCCGTCTGGGCTCTTACGAGGCAGGCGGGGTGGGGACTGGTTTGGACGGGCTCGCCGGGCGGAGAAAGCGGAGGTGGGCTTTGGAAGGCTGGGTTCTGGCCTGGCCAGGTCTTCCCTGCAGCTAAGGTGGCCACGGCTGTGACCAGGCGATACTACCCTACACACGTGTCCGGGGAGAAGCAGCAGCACCGTCGCTGCCTACTCCAAGACTAGACAGGCTCAGAAAGGGCTGGCTCGTCTGGGGGGGAGGATCAGCTGGCTCTGCCTGTCCCTCTCCAACCGGTGGGGCCCCTTTCAAAGCCTCCACGTCTCCCCCTGGCAGGCTGGCCCACTTTCTGCGCTTCTTGGGCCTGCGTGGCTCCTTCTGCCCGAGGAAGGTCACCATTTCCGTGCTGCCCGATGGTGTGGGCCAGGACCACGGGCCAGGCCTAGATCACGCCCAGCTACAAGGGGGACAGGCCCTTCGCTGTGCGTTTATTTATCTTTCTGCAAGTAAGTGCTTCCCTCCCGTCAACTTTTCCTGGGGTTATGGGAGGAAGCGTATTTCTCTTAAGCGGCTTCTCTGGGGACCTCTTAAACTCCTCTCAAGTCTTGGGGGTGGGGGGGGGAGCTTTATTTTAACCGCCTACAGCCTGATTTCATTTTGGCTCGGCGGACTTGGCGAATCCCAACTTTCCATCTAGTTTGTCTTTCCATCCACATCCAAACTCCAGCGTGCTCAGGAGAGTCATTAGCCCCCACTGCAAATCCAGGGCAGGCTGGGACCAGCAGCCTCTGCTGGGGACTGAGGCGAGCTGGGCCGTCTACAGGGCCACGCTACGGACGGCCAGCCAGGCTGCAACTCAGGAAAAGTCCTCATCTCCTCCTGCTCCGAAATGAGCGGACTTGCAGCTTATTAGAAATGGCGCCATCTGCTGTGTTTGAGAATGCACAGACCGCTGCTCTCGGGCTCAGCACAGGTACACGTCAGACTGTATGTGCACGCCAGAGCAAGACCGTACTGCGAGCACCAGTCACGCGCGGTCGGCCAGGCGCCAGACATTTCATAGGATTCTCGCTATTACCAGATGGAGAAAACAAGGCCATGGAGAATTTAGTCGCCTGCCCGGGCCCTACAGCCTGTGGATGGGATGCGGAGGCTAGCCTGCCATTTCCACGTAAGCCTCCCGTGCACCAGGAGGGCAGGGCGCCGCGCAATCGTGGGCATGTGCTGGGAGACCCACCATGCAGTGCCGGCGGCCAGCACACGGGCAGGGGCCCTCTGGGTCCTAGGACAGCTTCTCAAGAGCTGCCTGAGGGCATTTCATCAAAACCAGGCGGTTTTCCTACAGCTCCCGTGGCGCTCGGGCTGGGGCCATCGTACATGCATGCTACGCTCCTGACTCAGGACCCAGTGCGCGGGTGGTTGTGCATGTGTCTGCTCTTTAGAGGACACGGGGGCCGTCTAAGAGGGCTGCTCAGCCGTCTGCCCTCCTTCTCCTGCAGCCGCCACCTCTGGAACCCAGAGCCCAGTCTCCAGCAAAACTGCACCTCGTTGATCAGGGGAAGAAACGGTAGTGCCCGGCCCGCTTCCAAACTAGAAGCGCTCGCTGGCCAGCTGTGGCTGTCCCTGGCTGACAGCTCAGCCGTGCCTTCTCCAGTTCACAACCCCGGGGGTCGGGGGGGGGGAGGTCTTGGGGGTCAGGACAGCTGGAAGTGTGAAATGAATGCAGCCCTGCATAGCTAGGAGGGTCAAGCTGTCTGCGGCGGCCGACTGCCCATGCACACACACGCGCGGCAGCACCCGGCTGGGCATTACCTACTTCACCACCGATGTAGAAGTCATTGTTTGTCGGGTGAACGACAGCATCACTGTCGATCGAAGCAATGTCAGCCTGTACAACTTGCAACTATAATGGGTAAACAAATGTACATCAACTGTGTTGGACCGAGACCCACACACAGGCACATTTACTAACGCCCCAATGGCAGGGCTGGCCTACCTGGTCGATTCCAACACACGAGCCCCAAGGGGCAATCCGCCCACGCAGTGCGCACACATGTGGATGGGGGTGAGGACAGGAGGAGGAGGAGGAGGAGGAGGAGGAATATCAAATGTGACATGTTTAAATTAAACACTTGAATGACAAGTCCAAAAAAAAAAATACACATGAGATCATTTTCAAAGGTTAAAAGAAAGAAAACAAACGCCCCATTTCACTTTGCAAAAACCTATAAAACTGGCACCCCACTGAGAAGACTACAAAAACATGGCATCCGCTTTGAGAAAAGAAAAAAAAAAGTGGACCATCAGGCCAAACAAAACAATGAGTTTCTCCATTTAGTCTGCCGCGGTCAACTTGCAGGCTCTGATTTCTGTTCCTGGGGCATGCGTTGTTTTTGCCTTCCTTCAAAACCAAGAACATAGTGTAGACCCGCGTGGAAGGCGGTCTCCCCGGCGGCCGGTGCGATGCTTCCGGGCCTGCCTTGCCTCTGACTTGTATGTATTTTAATGTGAACGGTACTCAGGATAGAATCCTTGCCTATGGTGTCTTCCTTTAAGGCAAGTATCTGTGTGCACAATGTCAAGCAGGGTATTTGGGGGGGGGGGCGGTCTCAGCCCCTGCATCTCAGGCTTTCTGAGATGCCCAGTTTGTATGGGGCCGGCTGGGCCTCTGGGGCTAGCACTGCCTCTGTGCACATCGGCCCAGCCTACGTCTCCTGGCCGGTCTCTCTAAGAGGAGGACAGGAGCTTCATTGTGCCATGGGCTGGCCTGGTGAAAAGATGGTGGAACACGGGCGTTTCACTCGGACTGTGGTTCTTCTGCAGAGAGGCACCGTAGGCACGCACTCAGAAAGAGACGGGGCCCTCTGTTTAACTGCCCCGTCCCCAATAATGCGTGGGGTCGCACACTGTTTGAGAAGCGACAGGAAGGTGGTAAATCTGGAGCACACCAATCTGCCTGCGGCTGAACGACAGCTCATCGGCATACGGATGCAGCTCGCCTCGCTTTTCTCTCTGTGTGCCAGACCTCATCGAGGCGCAAATGGAGAAACTATTATTTTGTAGTTACCTGAAATTTCCCAGCTTGAAAAGGAAAACAGAGAACACATGGTTTACAATCCCCTCCCGAGAAACCAGCAGTCAGTGCGATTGTTATGGAGGAGAATTCAGATGTCATGTGCTCGTGGTGGAGGGGGAAGAAGCCAATTGGACTCGGGGAAATGCCAGGCCATCTCCACCGGAAGCGGCTGAGGGAGTCATCGTGCAACGGGCACACTCAAACCTCAGTCGTGGATTTGGGGACTTGCCTTGGGGGGAGGCACAGTCTAAATTCTGGGTTCCATAACGCTTCCTCTGACAGCTGGTGGTGCCGAACCCCGTCCCCAATTACCTAGGTCATCTTTAAGGTCAATGTCAGCATTGGTAGGATTGATTATGGCCTCCACCTCAAAGCCGGCTAAATTACTGATTTCACTGTGAATAAGGTTCAGCTGAAAAGAAAAGCATGAGGTGGGAAATAACGGGAGAGCCGGCAGGTCGCAGAGAAGGAGCCCTGGACACGGGCGGAGACACTGGGCACTCACGGTGCCCTGGGCACAGGAATCCACTTCCCACGGGAGACTCCGGTGCGGCCGGGCACTGAAAGGAAGCAAGCTAGGCGGAGCAGTCAGAACCTGTGGGGGAGGCTGAGGGCAGGAGAAAGCACGAGCCCCGCGGGCCTGGGGGAGAAGCCCGCAAGCTGGGGGCCAGAGGGAAGCGGAGCGCTCGGCGGGGCGGCTGGCCTGCAGGGGCATCAGGGCAGCGGCAGGAAGCCTTCCAAGGGGCCGTGGGTCTTCAAGGCTGCTCCGAGGCGGGTGAGCAGCAGGAACGGTCTGTTACGATTCTGGCGAAAGCCAGGAGGCAAACTAATGGTCCTCCGGCAAGACAACGCATCTTTAAAGAGTTTTCCCGTCCTTGGTCAGGCTGCTCCGAGGCCCGATGGGGGGCTGGAAGGCGTATTCCTTGCATTCTGCGTCTACCTCACCACCCTGGGTCTTTCTGAAGAGCCGCTGGCTGCTCCCTTCCCCCGCCTTGTTCTGCTGCCATGACAACACTGGGGTCCACCCCCCACCCCCTGGCTGAAGGGAGTGCTGGACGCTGCTGTCCAAGGAGCACTGAAGTCCTGGCCTTGGCTCTCCCCCTCCTCTCTTTAGGGCCCGGTGCCTGCGGTAAACCTGCATGTGCACACCATCTTGGAACAGAGCCACGCATTCTCTGGTGACAAATTCCTGGTCGCGGTGGCGACCTGAAAAGCATCGCCAGCCCCCAGTGGCTGCTGCTCTGACAGACTACGATGCGGTCTTGCAGGAGGCTGTGGCCTGCAGGGTGGAGCTGGGGGGAGCCCTCACCCCCCACACACACATACACACCTCAGAGGAGGCTCCTAGAAATAGAGTTCCAAACTGCTGAATTTGGGGGCCAGCCATTTTGTTAAGAAGAAAAATGATACAAGGTGACTAATACACTGTGAGTAATGAAGCCAGGCACTGGTGGAGCACGCCTGTCATCGGAGCGACTCGGGAAGCTGAGATCTGAGGATCGTGGTTCAAAGCCTGGGCAGGAAAAAGTCCGTGAGGCTCTGATCTCCACTTGACTTCCCAAAAAAGCCAGAAGTGAGGAAATGGAGCTGTGGCTCAAGGGGAAGCACACTAGCCTTAACAAGCATGAGGAAATCTTAGAAATCTACATTCTCAAAAAAGGAGGGGGGCAAAGAGAAGCTGCTTGGACCGACGCCTTTAGAACAGCCGCTGCCCCGGCAAGCTCGGTCCTATGGCCAAGAAAAGACTCCAGAAGGGAAGAGGAGCCACTGTTCTTCACCTCCAGTCTCTGGTCATTTGTTCCTTAAGTGTCAGGTGACTGGAGGCCACGCACATCCCTGGAGCTGAACCAGGCGCCCCCCACGCCCATCCGGGGAGGAGGCTGGGGGCCCGTGCCCAGACTACCACAGAGGAGGCAGCGGGCACAGGGGAGGCCGGGCAGGCCTGCTGCCTCCAGGATCTTTGGGGTCTGTTTTCAGCCAGGCCTCGCCGGAGAGCTGGCCTCTGGCTCCAGGAGCCAGCAAGGCCCAGTGGCCTGCTCTGGCTGGCTAAGGGAACGGGCTCTCTCGGGGACACTGTGGGTGTTCTGGCTCTGCTGCAGAGAGGGAGGGCCTGCAAAGAACTCGGGTTTCTTGGAGAATTTCCAGCTCTCTCTGTATTCGCCACCTTTCCTCTGAGCAGAGGCCGGCGGCCGGCCGGCTCTGAGAAGCGAGGACCACTGACTGCCTACCACGGGGAATCACCAGCCAGCCAAGTCCAGCTCACCGTCGTGTCCCACCCCCGGGGATGCAGCCAGGCCGGGACCGCCCCACTGAGCTCTGCCGTGCGCCAGGCTCAGGTTGGGGGCCTGAGCTACCACATCATTTGGCTGCTAACAAAATCATATTCAAATGTGGATTGTTTTAAATCCTCCAGATTACAAAGCCTGGCAGGAGGCAGAGAGGTGGGGCGGGGGGCAGCGGGGAGAGATGATGAGTTGGTTCAGGCACTTTGGAAAGAAAAATGGATCATCCTCCTGGCTTGCGCAGGTGGGACCGGTGGGCAGTGGTCAGCGATGAGATGACCACAGGGTGCCCACGCACCGTGGATGCGCATGCCTGGCAGGGACGCCACGGCCCGGGGGCTCAGCCCTGAGTGGGCGTGGCAGGGCTGGGGCCAGTCCCAGGAGTATCCCCAAGGGCCCACCGCTACGTAAAGCATCTGGTGGAGAAGAGGTACTTGTGGGTGAGAAATCTGCTTTTCCTCCAAGCACAGGCTGATCATCCGGAAAGGAGAGGCAGTGATGGTTGCAGAATCTAAATAAGGTGATTACTACTTTGTGGTAACCACTGGGAAAGATGGAAAGCATGAGGTCTGATCGCAGCATGGGGAAGTTTAAGGCAGCTATGAAGAATCCTGGCCGCTGGACACAGTGGCTACAGGACCTTGACGATTAGAGTGAGCTGGAAGAAAGGGACCTCCAGATCCCTTCCCTAAAGGGGTGCAGTTGTCCCAACCTTGAGTGGCTGCTGTCCTTGAGCCTCTACCACAGAGGTACGTTCACATCAACGCTCAATGGCAAACATCCTCAGACAAAACGCCTGTGTCTGCCGTCCCCAAGGGAGAGTTGATAGAACGCCAGGGCTCAGAAGCTGGGCCCTAGCTGGGCCAACCAACCTGGCCGCCTTGCCTGGCTGTAAGCCAGCACCCAGCATGTGGGGCGGGCCGGGCGAGAGCACACTGACCGAGGACAGGGAAGAAGACAGCGTGGCCTAGAGCCACTGGGCGGACGTGGCAGCCTGCTCTGACCTGACCTACTTGGCGACAGAAAACAGTACGTTCCCTTTTTCAAATATACATATGATATATTTAACACTGTCAGTTTCAGAAAATGAACGCGATCAAGGTATCTGAGTCTAGCCGGGAGTCCAACATCTCCGACAGACGGGGAAGGGGGGGTGGCTGATGTCACTCCCGTGTGATGGTCACGGAAAGTTCCAGGAACCCCGTGTGAAAGGCCGGTTTTCTAACCTGCCCTGGCCAGAGCGGTGGGAAGGGCGCACACAGCAGCGTGTCCCCTTACAGCCGTGGCACCCAAGAAGAAGGGGTGCGGACAGAGGGGGACTGCGGTGCTGCCTTCCGTGGGCTCCCGTGGGGCGCGGGGTCCCGATCGCTCGCACACTGACTCAACTTCCCAACCACTTTCAGTAAGTGACCTGCCACCATGACACATATGTATACACACGCACACTGGAAGTGTTCTTTTGGAAATAAAGCCACTGGGTTTTAAACCCTCTGGGGAAAAAAAAAAACAAAAAAGGTTGCCAATCTCCCCCTGAACCTTGAAATAAAAACATTCCACTGGTTCAGATCCACAGCACTGTTGTTGTTTTAAAGCAATTCAACGGTGTGTGTGAACCCTGGGCAAAATCGTCAGAGTCACGAGGGTGATGACTCCGGGGACCTGGGTCTATGAAATACATCATTAACAACAACAATTAGATCCCAGGCCCCTAAGCCCCGAGCCAGCGCCTCGCTTAGCAACCGTGCCTCCCGGGCTGTGGTGCACAGTATCACCTTTCTCTCCAACAGCTTGCTTGTGATATTCTAGCGCTGGTTGGAAAATAAGGTGCAGAGCACACACGGTTCCAGTCATCGTTCTCAAAGTGCCCTTTGTGAGACACTTCCTAAAACCCAACTCTCCATGGGCGCTCGTACTAACTTGTTCATGCGCTTGGCCTAACGCTGTATGTGTATGTCCATTTCCTGGCCTTTGTCCCCGGGCGCTCCCTGTCCATGCGGAGCCCAGCACGTACAGCTTTGGGACAATGCTCTGAACTAGACGCATCGTCCCCAGCCACGGGGTCCCAACTCCCTGACACCAGAGTCCGGGGCTGACCGCAGGCGCTGCTGACCCACAGAGCCGCCCGCCGTGGCAAGCTGGGGTCCTCTCCCTGGCTGTGCACCCCAGCCGGCGCGCTCCTCCTCACAGCGGCCAGCGTGGGCCAGAGGCTGGCTGAATGTCAGGGCCGGCGCTCTGCACCTTCTCTTACGCTGGCCGTTTGACATGGGGGTTCCAGCTCAATCTCACCTGACGTCAAGATCTCAAACAGCTCTGCGGCTTCCTGGTACGGCCCACGTTCTCCTGGGACCGCAGGTCTGTACGTTTTCTATGGCTTTTTAGAGTCCCGCTCTCTAATCCTGAGGGAGGTTCCAGCTCTAGACTGCGTCGGCCAGATGAGTAGTTCATTCCTGGGGTACCTGTCCACTCCTGAGGCCAGGAGTGCCCTGGGTGGGATCTGAGCTGTGCCCAGCCCTGACGGGGTGAGCCTGGGTATGGAGCGGACCCTACTTCCTGCCCAGAGCACAGAAGAGAGAAGTGCATGCCCCTGTGCACACAGGCTTGTTTCTATCGAGGAGGGTATGAGTTCTATCTGAAGCTGGGGCTGGGTGGCAGCAGGAAGAGGCGGGCACACAGGGAAAAGGAGGCGGGGCTGGAGAAGGGATGCAGGCGACCCCAGGGCTGACCTGTGCCATCTACCCACAGGCCCCTGGTCCTGGCTAACCCTCGGCCTGAGGGATCTAAGACACTCTGTGCGCGTGCGTGTGAAGCGTCTGACAGGCCACATCAACTGTCTACACGCCACCCAGAGAACACAGTCAAGAGTGTGAAAGTGGGCCCGGGTGGCTGCCTTCCCTGCTGAGCTGAAATTTCTTAAATGAGAGAAAAAAAATGTAAAGACCTTGAAAAGCTAAGACCTTAAGATGACAACTAGTACCGCTTTTTTCCCCTCCCTCTTTAGAAAAGTACAAAATACAGACGATGGTTATAGAATGTAGAAGCAATGGTTAGATTCGGCAGGAGTCCACTTCGTGGGAATTGCATCATGGGAGACTGAATGCAATTAGTGACAGAAGAGAGACAGGCG